TATGTATGTATGTATGTATGTATGTATGTATGTTTGCATGTATGTATGCATGTATGTTTGATCTATATATGTATGTATGTATGTATGTATGTATGTATGTATGTATGTATGTATGTATGTATGTCTGATGTATGTATGTATGTATGTATGTATGTATGTATGTATGTATGTATGTATGTATGTATGTCTGTATGTATGCATGTATGTATGTATTCATTTATGTATGTATGGTTGCAAGGTTGCATGTATGTATGCATGTATGCATCTACGTATGTATATATGTATGTATGTATGTATGTATGTATGTATGCATGTATGTATGTATTCATTTATGTATGTATGGTTGGAAGGATGCATGTATGTATGCATGTATGTATGCATGTATGCATCTACGTATGTATGTATGTATGTATGTATGTATGTATGTATGTTTGCATGTATGTATGCATGTATGTTTGGATGTATATATGTATGTATGCATGTATGTATGTATGTATGTATGTATGCATGTATGTATGTATTCATTTATGTATGTATGGTTGGAAGGATGCATGTATGTATGCATGTATGTATGCATGTATGCATCTACGTATGTATGTATGTATGTATGTATGTATGTATGTATGTTTGCATGTATGTATGCATGTATGTTTGGATGTATATATGTATGTATGCATGTATGTATGTATGTATGTATGTATGTATGCATGTATGTATGTATGTATGTATGTATGCATGTATGTATGTATGTATGTATGTTTGCATGTATGTATGCATGTATGTTTGGATATATATATGTATGTATGCATGTGTGCATGTATGTGTGTATGTTTTTATGTATGTATGTTTTCTGGTTCATGATTATGAGCCTATATATGTATACCTGTAAAATTCAAATAAGATAGAAATATTTGCGATGATCGTCAAAGATCACTAGTCAGCTTTTTCGTCCTGTTTGAGACTCGTTGGAAGTGGTTACGTTTTTTTTTCCTGTCAGGACTCGAACCGCGAACGTTCGGGTCGGAAATTTAAAACCTTACCCTTATTGAATATATAAATGTACAGTCAACTTTCAGGACATGGGCCGCGACCATAAAAAGGCTGCCTGGGAAAATAAGGAAATAGGAAAGACGGGTGGCGCTGGAGCGGTTTGAAGCCGGGGACTCCCAAGTCACAGTTTGGTGTTCTAACCACTCGGCCACCACTGCCCAAACCAAAATATCAACAGCCGAGCACAACTCACATGTCAAAAGGGTGTTTATACTTGGGCTGTAAGAATGGAGCTCAGTGGATATAACTGGAGGACAATACTTTTCTACGACCACCAATGTGGTTTAAAGCAATAGCAGCAGCCACAGCAGCAGAGCGTCGGTCGTTCGTGAGCTATCTTTGGTTAAGAAGCGCTTTCAAGAGGCACTGTTTGCGGAATTCAAATGTGGCAAGTGGTCTCTGGTTGATTTGTGGAGGTCACCACAGCGGACAGCATTGCTTCTGTGCAAGTGATGGTGCAAGAGGATGTGCGCGTGACAATCTCTTAGGCCATCTGGATCTCATCGGGATCAATTTACACTGTACTACATGAGAATCCGGGCCGCAAAAAGGTTTGAGCACGCTGAGTTCCCCATCAGCTCAGTGTGGAACAGAAGGCAATTCGGGTGAATGGGTGCCGCACCACGCTTGGCAGGTTTGATGGTGAACGTTCCAATTCAGTTTGAGAGATTATCAGGAATGATGAGGTCTGGGTGTTTTGACCCAGAGAATTGGCTCAGTGGAAGCCGGTTAGTGTGCCGCCACCTCAGAAATTGCCACGTGAGCGCAGTGTATCAAAGCGGATGGTGGCTGTGTTCATGGCCAAACCGGTCACGTTTATACTGCACCGCTCGTACAGCAAAGTACAGTCACCGGAGACTGGCACGTCACTTATTGTCTGCCAGGCGCAGTCAAAGGACTCGAACACTAGGGACCTTGCTGCACCATGACAATGCACCTGCACACAAGTAACATGACGTCGGGGATTTTCCGGTTACAGAAGGGATCCAGGAGGTTAGTCACCTAGTCCAGGCCTGTCTCCTGTTTCAAACGAGTGATGCGTGGAATCTGATATGAGTCACCAACAATGAAATGAAATGTTCACTCCTCATTTGGCTTGTACACGCGGCAATTCGCAATTCAAACTAAACCCTACACTACTCTCTTGCAATACTATTGATTGTATATTCACTGAGAGCGTTGTCCATTCTTTTTTATCAGCCCAGTCCTACCAGACTTGGTCATTGCAGATTTGGAACAACTAAAAAGTAATTCTCTGGAGCGTACTATCCTGTACAAAGGATGCATTGACGACACCTTGATGATAACAGAAAGCTTAGAACAAGCTACGATAGGTACGGCTGAACTTAATAGCTTACATTCAAACACACAGTTCGCGATTGAATCTGAATCGAAAAACAGACTACATTTCCTTGATATTGGCACTAGCAGAGGAGACGATGGAAAAATTGCTCGGTCCGGTTATCAAAAGGAAACCTTTACAGGCCAATACTTACACTTCAAGAACCTTAAGCCCCTGAATTATAGACGTGGTCTTGATTGGACCTTATTTGACAGAACTCAGCGAATCTGCACGAAAGACGGAATTGGACAAAGACTGCAAAACCTTCAGGAGTTGTTAGCAGAAGGCGCTTACCCCAAAGCGTTCCCTAATGAACATCACAAACCAAGAATTGCAAAAGAACTGATTGCGTCAGTTCCCAAATTGCTGGTAACTGGTTATCTAATCATTCAGTAGCACTGATGGATAAAACGCGGCACATCCCGTCCGCTCCAAATCAAGGCAGGGGTAGATGGCGTCTGCAACGTCAACTCAAGCTTCAAGAAAAACCGTAAGAACTGGTGGGCAATGATAGCTAGTGAAATGAAGTTAGTAGTTGCAGTCAAAGACTGTTCCAACTGATACCCAAAACTGGAGGTGAGCGAACCACAGTTAGTGAAACAATCTTCGACAAAAGCGGACAAGCTATTCATAAAAGGGAACAACGGCTTGANCTTTAACGAACAGTTCAACTGGCCGGGTGCTAACCAGACTATCTCTTCTGGTGTAACTGTGGCTTCGTAAGAAGTGTCATATGAACCTCCTACTGTAGCCGAAGTTTAATCCTGTATCCTAGCCCTGAAGATAGGAAAAGCCGCAGGACCCGACGAGCTTCCTCTCACTATTTTCAAGATGGGGAACGGTGACCTCGTAGACTTCATTGCTGATCTAATGCGTAACATCTGGTCACACGAGGGTATTCCCTCATCTTGGAGCGAATAATTGATTGTTCCCATTTTTAAGAAGAGATCTTGCAACGACTGCGCAAATCTCTGTGGAATACGTTTGATCCCAACCAATAACAAGTTACTAACCTCCATCATACTTCCACGTCTGACACCGTTTAGGGGAATAAATATCCACGAACAACAGGCAGGATTTTGACCAGGCCGCGGGTATGTCGATCAATTCTTCACTCTGCCTCAACTACGCCATCCTCACCGTCGACCAACGGTTGTCGTGTTCCTTTCCCTAAAAGGAGCGTTCGACTCAGTTGACCGCGAATCCCTTATGGGTTCGCTCCTTCGCAAAGGAATGCCTCAGAAGTGTGTGAACGTACTGAGTTCACTCTACTACTACTACACTACTTGTGGTAGTGTTAGGGTCTACGGTGAGCTGAGTAGGTCATTCGTAACTAGCAGCAGTGTTCGTCAAGGGTACCCTCTTTTGCCATTCCGGTTCAATTTCGTCGTAGACGAAATACTAGAGAACACACTAAGTGGTCTCTACATTGTCGGTATCGAATGGGCAGCTGGAGAAAAGCTGTGCGATTTGGAGTATGCTGACGACATCGTTTGCCTGTTCGAATCTACGGAGGATGCACAAAATCAATTGACAGATTAGCAGGTTCTGTCGCTCCATTCGACATGTGCTCTGCACCTTCAAAGTGCAAAGTGATGCTGCAAGATTGGGTGTTGCTGAGTTCCACTCTCAAACTAGACGGTCAGGAATTAGCTGAATTTGACTGCTTGTACTTAGGTAAATGCGTAATCAACGACGGTAGGGCATCAAAGGAGACAACCAAACTCATTTTTAAGGCTCAAGCAGCGTACGCAGGACTTAAACACCTGTGGCGGTAACGTAATGTTTCACTGAAATGGAAAAGTCGCGTATACTGTGCTACTGTATGATCGGTTCTGCTTAACGGTTGTGATACCTTGAACTTGAGGGTCGAAGACATCCGTCGTTTAGCTGGGTTCGACAATTGATGCTTACTTAGTCTGGTCCAAATGGGATGGAGTGAGCGGGTTAGTAATCTAGAAGTAAATTGTCGGGTGTTTGGGTATACATCAAACAAGAACTCGCTATGGTATCGAATCCAGCTCGATAGGCTCCGTTGGTTAGGACACGTTTTGCGTATGTCCGACGGTCACCTACCGCAGCGCGCCTTATTTGCGGTGGCTGTTGAAGGCATGGAGAAAGGCACAGGGCCATTAGGTGGAGTCGATGTATCTTGTCTTGAGGGGTGTGGTCCAGAAGACTCCGTAACCGCATGGTTGGCTGCAAACCGACAGCAATGGCGATCATGTTGCAACTTCTCATCAGACCAGAATTCTGGAACAGTTGAACTGTTTACACTGTGTGTTGACCATAGCGGTTCTCTTTCTTTCCCCTTCCCTAAAACTAAATCCAATCCTTGCCTTTCTTACACGTCATCACTTGTCTTGTATGCAATATGAGTTTGGCAGCGATAAGTAAAGTTTGCTTCACTCTATTACACTGTACAATGATGATGATGATGATGACGATGATGATGATGATGATGACGATGATGATGATGATGGTCACATTGTACCTTGAATTCAAAGATGATGACGTAAGCCGTCTGCTCAACAAATGACTGAGATCAGCAATCGCTCCAACCCACTATGAAGCCGATCCCCCTAGTTGTCTACCGGAAAACTAGTATACCCAAACCCCCAGCAAAAGAACATCTGCCTCTATACGCCAACTCTAATCTGATTTATCACTTCCAATATGAGTGCGGATCGACGTACGTAAGCAGAACAGACCAAACTCTATGCAATGAGGTGGTGGAGCATATTCCAAATTGGATCCAAAATCAGATGATGCAACCTAGGTAATGTTCGCTGCATAGAAACGATGGTCGAAACTACAAGACCCCGTCTTCAGCCATTCCTCGACATCTGCTGATGAAACAGTTCCAGATCGACCAAAGCAAAGCGTTTGAGATGGTCTACAAGTCATTAAAAGCAAGATTTGTAAGGTCTGCTGAAGCGATTGCTATTAATCGGTAGAGGCCCCCTGTGTCAAATTTGTTGATCTATCCTTACCCTGGTGACATAGCTCTTTTAGCCCTCCCCTTTTTCATGTTTTGTCTAGTTTAAGGTTTTTCCTTTAGGTTGTTACCATGCCAAAGCCCTATAATATAAACATTGCATTTTCTGCAGCATGCACCATGTTGAGATGCAGCGTACTCGTCCTGGACATAACTACAGCACCATTACCATCTTGTCTTTCGAAATTAATCTCGGGATACACTTGCTTCAATCACATCATTCAAGGAAATCTTTCCAGAATGATCATAAAATAATATTTGGGTCTCGGTTATTTAACGTAGTGGTCTGATGATTTTTTAAGAATCCCAGATGAAATGAAATGACACTGAGATTGCTAATTCCGTTATAATTATCCTTCAGTTTCTTCAAGCTACCGGATTGGCATTCTCTTTGGATCGAGGTTCACCGAAAGGAAAACACCTATTCTGAAATTTGTTCAGACCATCTGTTTGAAATTACGTGATTTCATC